ATGTATTCATTTCCATGGTTTATTATAGAGATATTTTATTGAGTATAATACAGCATTTTTCGAAGAATACTTCTTGGTGCATGGGAACCTTGATACACCTTGACGTTGATGAGGACAGAATGGCTAGGAAAGTAGTTGTACATAAGAGACTTGATGGTGGTAAGTGTTACATGTGTTAAGATACATGATGCAACACTTCAAATGCAAGAATTCCAAAGTAAACCTTTAGTTGGATTGTTTTTTCGACAACGGTTTAAAATTTATGAGTTAAGCTTGAGATCAAACTGCAGAATGAAGCTAGTTTCTTTCTTTTACCGAAGCGATTATTTGTCTAAATAAAGTTACATGAAATCAGAGGACTGCAGTTATTTAAATGTATATTCATGATTGTCATCCCATTTAGTTGTCAAATATTTCTTGTTCTCATGATTTAATGTGTAGTATAGCTTGATCACATTTCATAACACCATGTTGGTCGAAGTAAGAAAAGGGATATCTGTATGTTCTATTTATTATGCTTTTCCTCTTCTTACTAACCAAAAATAAAGTAATGCTCTTTGTTTAACAACTCTTCAGGCCTAGAGGCTCCTCGAAACAGTTTGGAGGTACCTTTAGACTTCCTACAGCTTGTCTGCTGGGAGAGATAGTATTCAGGTAATAATGTAATGCCTTGTTTTAGTTGCTTTGATATTCAAAGTCGAAATTTTTTTTGCCCGCACTAAACTAAAATCCTGGCTCCGTCCCTGAGAGATAACCATGTGCCATGGTGTATGTACATAGACAAGTGGGGTGACTATAGTTATAGTGGAGTATATATAAATTTTTACATTAAAAATAATTAAAATTTGATTATTGTAAAGTATAAATAAGACATGATTTTTAGGCCTTAAGTATATCCCAGTTCAAATCGAACTCTCCAAATCACCATTGAGCAAATTGAAATAATCAAACAATTGAGGTACGGATTGAAAGTTATCGTCACAATAGATCAGAATATCGAACAAAGATAAAATTTACAAAGAACTCGTTGGAGCAAATAACTTCTATTTTCATTGTCGAAATTTGGTTAATTGAAATCTACCTAACGATTGAGGTCACAAATTGAAAGTTGTCAACGTTGTATATCAGAAGAAGAGAATCGATGGAGAACTCGTTGGAGCAAATAACTTCTATTTTCACTGTTGAAATTTGGATAATTGAAACTCGTTGTGCGATTGAGATCACAAATTGAAAGTTGTCAGCATTGTGTATCAGAATTTTTAAAGGCAACAATAACAATTGAGATAGGATTCTACCAATGGCATTTGTCCAATTCTCTTGACTTTATAACATGTGATATAAGTACTCATAACCCATGACTAGTCTCTTGAATCTGTGAGCTATGGACATTGATATGTTACTATACAATATGACATGTAAACTATTACTTGTGACCCGTAACATATGAACTATAACATGTGAACTTGAATCATTGACTTGTTATCAGTACACAAAGATATGTGACATGTGATTTGTGATCAGTTAATTTTGTTTTGTGACATATTGACATTGATCTGTGACCTATACAATATGAGTTTGGACCTGTGACTTGCTAATATGATCTATGACCTATGATCTGTCACTACCACTTGTACCACCACTAGTAGCAGTACATATCAACATAACATTTGACATATACTCTATGAATATGTGGCCTTCGCCAGCAACACCACCATCACCTCAAAAACCACCACAAAATACTTGCAATATCACCACAGTACACCACAAAACTACTACAAAATCAACGTAGCAATGATCTAAGGTTCCTGCTATAGCAATGATGTGCGACGCGTACATGGGTGCTTAGTTCGTCGCTACATGTGACGCCTAGAGCACCGCTTAGCAACGAAACTGAGTGTTGTAGGGTCAGATCGTTCTTGAACGACATTATGCGTGGCAGCAATGCTCAGTTCGTCGCTGCACCAATGCTATTGTTAGCATCGATAAAGGAAATAGATGTGAGCTCTGTAATCTTCCTCAACTCCATCCGCCTCTTCATCATCAAGTTCAAAGACTGAAATAATTTAATGTTTGTGTAGAGGTGGGGATAGGGGTGGGGAGATTAATTAATTTTATAATATTATTGTAGCGCCCCAAAAATTATAGAATAAAACTTTTTGTTCTATCTGTTATATTTTTATAATTTTGAAAAGTTGAAGGACTAAGGTAAAATAGTATTCAATCCAATATTATTTTGGGTCAAATAATTAATTATTGATAAAATAATATTAGGCTATCAATATTGGGCTCATTTCGTAACTGAATTAGAAGTCTTCAATTCAAGAAGTAGTTAGCTCGCATAAGTTAACTCCAAGTTATTTCAATTCAAAGATCATAATTAATGGGTATTATTTGATTACTTAATAAAATATCATTTAAGATATTAGGAAAAACAAAGTAGTATTATATTATATATATCCATGTTTACCTTTAAGTTTGAAAAAGATTGGATATATCTTATTTGTTATTTCATATTAACCACTGAATTTAATTTCCCACATGCACGTAATTTTGAACCACCGTGCTTGTGGTGAACACACAGGTATTTATTACACATTATGCTCCCGTTTGTTTCTCATTATTTGCCCTTTATATTTGTTAGTTGGATAAATCCACCCATTATCTCTCATGTTTCCATCAACTTTTAACCACCTCACAGTATCCCATAAACTCACGTTTCTTTTTCCCATTTCAAATGTCTCTTAGTTTATCGTCTAATTATCATTTTACTTCTATTTTAGTTCCAGCAACATAACAAGTAAAAAATTCATAATCCTCCATCTCTTAAAAAAAAAAAAAAAAAATCTTTTTATAAATTTTTGGGCAATTTCAGATGTATAAAATCTGAATTTTTGTGGGCATCAACTCAAGATTTTCCAAAGGTTTAAGGTAGGATTACAAGGTGCAAGTGATTTCATATGATATATTATGAGTTCTTACCGATTTCTAAATATATGATATGGCGGTATGATTTTTTTAACTCATCATTTAATATTTTTATTTGGGATTGCACAATTACTCTTGTCGTACTGAGGATTCTCATATACTTACCATTTTCCCTACATCTCACATAGTAGAATAGGTCATCGGTTTGCAGGCGGTGAGGTGTTGTCGTTGTGCACATTCGTTGGACCTAATAAAAAAAATATTCTGTAATGTGGTTGAATGTTTTATATTTACAACAGTAACCTTATTTTGTTAATTTATTTATCTCGTTCCTTTATTTGAATGTGGAACACGTTTTGATTATGATCTACATTGTTTGTGATGCTGAATTTGTAAAATCAATATTTTATCATATATTTATTTGTCTAGCATGTATAACAGAATGTGGTTTGCATAAAATAAATTAATTGGCTTAGATTTTAACGTAACTTGTTAGAAGAAATGGATCAATAAACATTATTTAAGATTTTTGCAACTACAACTTGTTGAAAAGTTTGGTAATTTAAATTCTAACAATTGGATCGTTACAGTTATTAATAATATTAGTAGTTGAGTTATCACCTAACTTATAAATAAGTAAATTTTAAATCTGACTTTTGAAATACACTCTTCACAAACTTGCCCAAATGTAATTTTCACTTTTTTTATTTGCCTATTACCCATGTACAGTAATCTGAAAAGCGTAAAATGTGGCTAAATGTGGAGTTGAATCTTTAACCTTTATGAGTTTGAGTGCCTGGACGAGGTTTAGGCTTAAAAAGCGTTTTTTATTTATAATATTGTTTTAAAAATTTAATCATTTAAAAAATTACTTAATAATTAAAATAATACATGTTATACATTTAAAATTATAAAATACAATATTTACTTTATAATTTCCACCACTAATCAATTATAAAATTTTCAAGTTTTCAAAATGTAAAAATATAATATTTTTCATAGTTTTAATTTTTAACTAGACAAGTCATACTTAATAGATTTATAAGAACCTCACATGCTTTTGAAATTTGTAATAAAATGATTCTCAAGATCATAATTATATAATATAGATAACACCATAAATTAAATTTTATTTAACTATTTAGATAAAATCATTTTTAACTTTTATATATATAAAATCCTTTAAAATCTTAAAATTAGAGTCAAACGAAAAGTTTTTAAAATAATAATAAGCTAAAGTTAAACATTTTTTTAAAAAAATAAAAAAAAATTAATAACGCGCGTCTAACAAAAGAAATGAAGGAAAAATTCAACCATTTAAGGGAAGCCCATTTGGTAGGGCCAGACATAGTCTAGTTCGATTCTAACAAGAACCGAATCGAACCCAAAAATTTTGGGTATTTAGGAAGTAGAACCATCGAATCCAAATTTAATTATGAAATCATTGGTGTTCGATTCCATTCCATTCGGTTCAATTCAATTCGGTTTGGTTCTCAAGTTTCGTATTATAATTAAATTGTTTTGATATTTACACAGTTATATTAATTTAACTAATGATATTTTCAATCTTAACTTTTACAAAATAACGTAATTCAATGTTATGTGTCTTTTGTGTGTCTCTTTGCTGAATTCTACATAAATTTGATTGCTAAATCACAGGAAGAGGAAGATAGTAAGTTCAAAATAATTAAGAGAGGCGTTGTCGAGTCTCAATTCGATATCTCCAAAATGGTAGAAACGACATTACGATAGAGTAACAAATTTTGATAAAACTTAGATCAATTTGATTAAGTTAGCTTTGAACATAAAATTAAAAAAAAAAAAATCATATTTTTGAATTTGAGCTAAATTAACTAGTTAGCGAATTTATTTAGAAAAATAAAATAATTTGATTTATTTAAAATAAATTAATTAAAAATTTTAGAAAATTTCGATTCTTATTCGATTCTTCGATTTTTATCTAGAATAGAGAATCGAACCAAACTCTCCATTCAAATATCCCTTCCGTATTTAACTTTTAAGAAAATTCGTGATTCGGGTTCGGTTCAATTCGGTTCGCAATGTTCTCCAACCCGACCATTTGGTGTCGCTCATTAACAGGGATAAACTGGAAATAGCGTATGAAAAGTGAATGGAAACCGTTTTGGTTAGGGCCACAACCGGAGAAAGGGATAAACGGCAATTGGCTTTTGGCGTGGGTATTGCTTGCACTAAAACTTTAGGACTATTTATGGAGGATTGAGAGGGAAAGATAGCAGTGTTCATCCCCCGTTATCCATTTTAGTCTTGCAGTAATTCCGACAAGGATGGAACTTCATCTTCATCATCGAATTTAGAGGGTAATATCAGAATTTATGCTAATAACATGCTTCGAAAATTCAACTGGGTTTTGTTATAAATACTGGGCATTTTTGTTCATTTTGGAGCATTTAATGTTATTTTTTCACTTGATTTTGTTTATGGTTTAGCATTTAGGTGACCAACAGTGCCAAACTCTCTCCACCACCAGGCAGAATTATTGCTGCGAAACTACTACCCAAGTTTCTCGTGTTACTCCCAGTGTCCTTGTAAGTAATTTCAATTCTTTCTGTGATCTTACCAGTTCCGAGGTTCGGATTATTTCTATTTATTTTCTTCAAATGTTTATTGTTTCTACCGAATAGGTATTTGAATATGCGAAATACGTTTCTTGATAAATATATCCGTAGTTTCAAGAAATTAAAACAAGTGAAAGAACCTTTGATTGTCTCAGTGACACAGACAATACTAGAAGTTTTCTTTTGAAATGTAATATGCATCTGATTGTTGAGGTTAAACTGCAAAACTGAATTATGTTCTAAATATTTCCTATTCTCGCAATGTAATTCCAATCTTCTGTGCTTTTATTGATTTTACAGAGAGGAAACAAGATGGAAGTAGTAAAGGAGTTAAAGGATTGTTTGCATTTTATATTCACAGTACAATTCTGGAGAATGGCAGTTCTGTGGACAGTTGCTTTAGTTTTTTCCTATTTAAAGTTGTTTTCCTCAACGTTTTTACTGCCGAAGGCCAAATACTACTCTCGTCGTTCTTTAAAAGACTGTATTTCTGCCTCAGCACCTGTAACGAGGCCCGTCTGCATAATCACTGGGGTAGATTAACTGTCAATACTCCATATTTTTACAAATCACTTTGTGGCAATGCTAATTGTGCCTTTTGATTTATGTATTAAATTTTGGTCCTATATGCCAGTGTTGATATGTATATTGTTTTGGGCTTGCTGTTTGTAGGCTACCTCTGGTTTGGGTGCTGCAGCTGCTTATGCTCTTTCAATGGAAGGCTTTTACATCATTCTTGGTACTTCATCTATCAGTTTCTACGCGCAAAATGTATTCTCTTAGATCAAATATTGATGGTGATGAATCACGTGTTAAGTAAATTTGCCTTAGTCTGATTGCTTATTCTCTTGCTATATTAATTTAAATGATTATTGTTATTATTCCCTTAAATAATTAGTATCATTAGTAACTTTAGAACGAAATATTGGGGGGTGGGGGCATGATCTTTTTATAGAAATACTAGTTTAATCATCAAGTAAAATACCTTTTCAATAAGAAAATTGTTAATTTTTCAGGAACAAAGTTATTCGATTCGTGCAGTTGCTTAAAAATTTAATCACTAGAAGTCTAGAATGAGATTAGTAGCTTTTGGCAAAACTCCGGCTAATCTTTGTTAATTTTCATTTTGACTGTGCAGCTGGAAGATCCTCTGAACTGCTATCAAAGGTGTGGACCTGTTGTTTTCCATCACTATTATAGCTTCTATTTTATTGTTCTACTTATTTTTTCCGCTCTAAAACTTTCAGGTTACATCTGATATCAAGAGAAGAAACAATGATGCTTGCCTGAAAGCTTTTCAGGTTGATATAACTTCCTTCGAGTCAATCCTGAAGTTCAAATGCTCACTTCAGCAGTGGCTATTGGATTCAAACATGCATTCTTCTATTCAACTCCTGATAAATAATGCTGGGATACTGGCAACATCCTGCAGACTCACTTCCGAAGGCTACGATAAGTAATTACTTCCAAAATATATACCCATTATGATAATTATGAAAGAATACTGCAGTTTAATATTTTGTCTTTGCTACTTATTTAGACACTACAACATGTACAACATAACGGAAAGAAAATTGTTATTTGTTGAAAAGAGGCGGCAACTATATGGCTGAAATCAGTTCTTTTAAAGATTAATAGCTACCTTGGAAAATCTAACACCTTGGATTTGTAGTATGTATCTGTGTTTGTATACCTGGTTTTTTCCCTTGGTTCAAGCTATAGAAAAGAACTATTATTGCTATGATTATAGAATGCGGTTACATCTAAAAAAATCTTCCTGGTTGATGAATCGCTTTCAAGCACAACACCAGATTCTCCCGAATGGAATGACAAAAATGATAAATAAGTTCTTTTTTAATGTACAACTTAAAATGACTCAATAGGATAGACTCACCTATTTCCTAATTTTCGTCACGTCTTGCTTTTTTATTCTCTTTTTGGGTATATAGGACCTTGTAGAATACATTTTCTGTTTCCCTGTTGTAATTTTATGAATAAAAACTTGATTGGCATTCTAATATACATGGGGTTTTCTAGAGATTATGAGATGCTTATTGCGGTAAATCTATTTTCAGGATGATCGCAACTAATTATATTGGTGCATTTTGTCTTACCAAAGTTCTTCTCTCTTTACTGGAAAATAGCATTGTCCCCTCTCGTGTGGTTAATGTCACATCCTTTACACATTGGACTGGTAAGGTTTCAGTAAATGTAACTCTCTCTTATAAAATATTCTGTCCGTTGAATGTCATTTGGATTCCATCCAATACTTGTTAAGTTGAATTACACTGTTAATAGAAGTTTTTCTGAAGTGGATCCTATTCAAGGAGTTCCTGGAAGAGTATCTGATAAAAAACTGTTCCTTTCTTTTGTGTTCTTTTCTGCTTTAGTACGGTCCATGCAGGTGGACAGAGGAACTATGAAGTGTTTTTCAAAATCAAAGTGCTACCCCTTTGCTCATATATACGAGTATTCTAAATGTGAGTGCATTATCTTATAGAAATTATTATTTTTTCTTCTGGTTTGCAACTAATATATGCCATCTATGGGTGACAGTATGCCTTTTGCTGTTTTCATATGAGCTACATCGACAAGTTGCCCAAACGGAGAAATCTCATAAGCTATCTGTAGTGTGAGTGTTTTTGTACTTATTTCAAATCTAATCATAATCACCTGCTAAGTCACCGAAGTATTGGAGTTTGACAATAGTGGTTTTTTTGCGAGCGATTCCTTTATTAAACAACTAGAAGAGACGCAAATCAAAATATTAATTGAGTAATATTCTTATATGCTGTCCAAGGCTGACACTTCTCTGGGTGTTATTGTATAGTCCGTTTTGAACGTGTTTTATTTAGTTAATTAAGCAAGATGATTATTTGTGGTTAGAGTCGATAAGCATCAAGTGCGTGTTGGACTGGAGGATTTAATTATGTTCATATCTTAATTACTCCAAGCAACAAATAAAGCGGACTCGTGATCAATAACTATCGGCAGATATTGGTTTATTTGTAGAAATCACTGGTATTTTGTCATTTATGTTTGTCGGTAAAGCTATTTTAGCCTTTAGATTATCAGATCAACTATAACTCTCATTTAAGTTTGCTTTGTTTAAATATGATTCTGGAATCACCCCCAAAAGGAGAAAGAAAAAGATAAAGGTCATTGTGAATAACATCCATCAATCTTTGGGTTGTTTTCTCTGTAAACTAGCACTGCCCTACTTCAACGCCATAATATGTTTTTGGGAACTTCAGATCCTTCTTTTCTAATGGCACCTGTGCAACTGTAGTTGTGTGCTTTTTAATATGCCTAATTGTATTTTTTGGCCTTCCTGATGCTAAAGTGCCGTGGATCCTGGAGCCGTGAAAACCAATATTATGCGGGAAATTCCTTCAGGCATTTCACAATTGTCATATATAGTCTTGAAATTTTTGGGCCTTCTCCAATCTCCTGAAAATGCAGTATGCTCAATTCTTGATGCTGCCCTTGCTTCTCCAGTAAGTATTTCGTATCCTAATCACATGTTGCTCATCCATGTATCTTATACTTTTACTAAATTCCGTGTTGGGTCTCTAGATGATGCTCTCTTATGCAAATCCTTTTTTTTCATCTTATTTGCTCGACTTCCTACAATTTGTCATGTCTCTTATACTTGTCATCTCTGACAGAATTTGTCTGTGTTAATACTGAGGCTAACAGAATTTCTGCCAGGCAAGTTGGATTAAACAGTACTAGATAGGTACAAGAGTAAAATAAGAAAAAGAAGTTAAAAATCGTATTTCTGGTAATGTGCGGTACTGTACAGCATGGTATACCTACAGAATGTTAAGTTAATATTGCTGGAGCTTGTGAATTGTACAAGAGAAGTGCATGAAAATCTTATTTTCTTCAATCTGTTGTTGATTTTAGGAAATATCAGGAGTCTACTTCTTTGGAGGAAATGGTAGAACTCTGAATTCATCAGCTCTTTCTTATGATGTGGGACTCTCTAAGGATCTTTGGGATACTTCTTGTAACCTGTTCCGAGAATTGCATCGTGCTGCCAAGGACACTTCAACACAAGCGTGAAAGCATATTGTGACGGGTAAAGTTTTCATTAATGAATGTAGAGTCGAGTTCTCATCATCTTCTTTTTTCTTCTTTTTTCGAGAAGCCTTTTTATTATGCGAGCTAGTCTCAGATGTGTAACGACACCCTAGTTCAATATAGATTTGCCAATTCTGCAAGTGCTCTAGGTTCTTGATTAGGCACATAATTTATAGCATATAACAGGGTGGAGAAAATGAGCATTGGAATTGTATGGATCTTCATAAAATAGTATTAGAAATTTATCAGTAATTCTATATAGTTTATATTGAGCAAAAGAATTTATATTTTATGGCGTTTCGGGAAATTAATGAAGAATTTACTGAAACCTAATCAGATACATAAGAAGAAAAATTCATACCCGATGGCAAAACAATGAAATGGATCCAGTGGTAGAAGAAGTTTATATTGAAATGATGAACAAATAAGTGCAATAATTGAGAAAGATGAAAAGACATAAATAAAAAAGAATAGTTTTCAATTATCAAGCAAAGTCAACAAATGAGGGAGCCCGAAGATAAGATTGTCAGAATAAAGAAAAAAGTTGTCATTAATTTCGTACAATCATTTTAAAATCGCATATCTGTAAAGTTGTACAATATTTATTACTTTTTCTTTAATTATAGATCACCCACTTGTAAAATGATACAATATCAAAATAATAGACGTGATGTACCAACATCTATAAATACTCATATTATTCACGAAGAAAGACACAACGAAAAACACAGAGCACACTATGACACTTGTACTAAAAAATTTCTCTCCATCTTTGTAAAGAAATCATTGTACATTCAAAGATGTTAAAATAAAGTAAGTTCTTTTCATACTTCTTTTTGTTTATAATTTTCTTTTACTTTATTTATTTTTAGACAAGACCTAACAGAGGAAACACTAAGTAAGCAATTAATTTATTTAGAAAAATATATCATTTTATCTTTTCTATATTATATTTAACGCTCTTAGCCTCTTTATTTTAGATTTCATGATTAAAAAGATAAAGTTGAGCTAAACTGGCTGTTTTGTATTCATATTTTGGGAGTTTGTTTAAACTTTTTTTAACATGATGAATTTTTTTTAATTATAGGCTCAAGCCTTTCTTAGAAGGTCAAGAAAAAAACTAAGAGAATTAAAAAAAGAAAACTGAAGAAATTGATTTGTTAAACGATAAAGTACTCTAAGGTCATTACAAACATATTGCTCTTTAGTTCTAATATTTTATGCCATTAGACAATTATACATCTACTTTGCTTTATTGTTCATTAGAAAGTTTTAAAGAGTTTATTAATGTTTGTTTAAAAAATATAGAAATTGGTAGAATAATTATTATAGAAAGCTATATATTATCTGCTCTAAATAAAAATAGAGGTGACTCCTCTTTACAGATCAATAAGCAAATTGCTGAGCTTTCTATCTCTCAGTGTCGGAGTTTCAGGATCAAGAATCCTGAAGATTGTAAAAAAAGGCAAAAAGAAATAAAAATTATAAGAGAAAATAAAGATAAAAATAGTAAGATTCCCTTTCTAAGAGAAAAAATTTTCTTCTAAGATTTTCTTTTCTTCGTAAACTTTTTGAAACTGGCTAGAAGATTTTATTTTTGGTCACATAATTTGAAGACTTTGTAATTGGTTAAAAAAAATTTCACTTTCACTTAATTAATTGGTAAATTTTGTCATTTTCTCTTAATTAATATGTAGACTTTTTCATTTCACTTAAAGACTTTTTCTTATTACAAAATCTTTACGTATTATAAATATAAATAAAATAAGATTTTTTGATAGATTTTTCAAACAGGATTTAACTAGTACATAGACTTTTTCTTATTACAAAAATAAAATAATAGATCAAACAATAGAATAGATAAAATACATGAAACATTAGGAAAAGTGCAATAATTGAGAAAGATGAAAAGACGTAAAGAAAAATGAATAGTTATCAATTATCAAGCAAAGTCAACAAAGGGATAAAGCCCAAAAATAACTCTTTCAGATATAAAAAAAATTAAATGCACTCATTCATCTGCAAAAATTTAAAGCTTCTTCGAGTATATAAAATTATTTGAAAAATGGGTCAGTAAATCTTTCTATTTGTTGTAGATTTTGTAGTAAGAAAAAGTCTATGTGTCAATTAAATTCTGTTTGAAAAATTTATATCAAAAACTCTTATTTTATTTAAATTTATAGTACATAAAGATTTTGTGGTAAGAAAAAGTCTACGTGCAAGAAAAAGTCTGTAAGTGAAATGAAAAAGTCTATCTATTAATTAAGAGAAAAGTGACAAATCTTACCAATTAATTGAGAGTGAAAAAAGTCTTTTAACCAATTATAAAGTCTTAAAATTACGTGATTAAAATAGAAAATCTTCTAACTAGTTTCAAAAAGTTTACTAAGATAAGAAAATTTTAAAAGAATTTTTTTTTCTCTTAGAAAGGGAATCTTACTATTTTTATTTTATCTTATAATTTGTATGCTTTTTTGTCTTTTCTTACAATATTCAAGATCTTTTATCAAGAAACTCCGACACCGAGAGATAAAAAGTTTGGTGATTTGCTTCTTGATATGTAAAGAGGGATCACCTCTATTTTTATCTAGAGATAATATGTGGCTTTCCATAACAATTATTCTACCAAATTCTCTATTTTCCAAACAAATATTAATAAACTTTTTAAAACTTTCTAGTGAACAACAAAACAAAGTAGATGATGTATAATTGTCTAATGGCATAAAATATTAGAACTAAAGAACAATATGTTTGTAATGGTCTTAGAGTACTTTATCGTTTAGCAAATCAATATCGTCAGTTTTTTTTAACTCTCTTTTAAACTTTTTCTTGACCTACTAAAAAAGACTTGAGACTATAATTAAAAAGATTTTCATCATGTTTAAAAATGCTTAAACAAACTCCCAAAATAAGGATACAAAAGAGCCAGCTTAACTCAGATGGTTACTTTATCTTTTTAATTATGGAATTCAGAATAAAGAGGTTAAGAGCGTTAAATATAATATAGAAAAAATAAGAAGATAAATTTTTTTGAATAAATTAATTGTTTACTTAGTGTTTCCTCTGTTAGACCTTGCCCGAAAATAAATAAATAAAGTAATAGAAAATTATAAACAAAAAGAAGTATGAAAAGAACTTACGTTATTTTAACGTCTTTGAATGTACAATGATGTTTTTACAAAGATGGAGATAAATTTTTTAGTGTAAGTGTTATTGTGTACTCTGTTTTTTTATCAACGTGTCTTTCTTTGTGAATAGTATGAGTATTTTCACGTCTATTCTTTTGATACTGTATCACTTTACAAGTGTGCGATTTATAATTAAAACGAAAGTAATAAATGTTTTATAACTTTACAGATGTGTGATTTTAAAATGATTGTACAAAATTATTGACAACTTTTTTCTTCATTTGGATAGCCTTATCTTCGGGTTTCCTCTTATTGTTGACTTTGCTTGATAATTGAGAACTATTCTTTTTTATTTACATTTTTTCACATTTCTCAATTATTGCACTTATTTGTCCATCATTTCAACGTAGGCTTCTACCTCTAGATCCATTTCACTGTCTTTGCCATCAAATATGTATTATTCTTCTTCTGTATCTGATTGGGTTTCTGTAAATTCTTCATTCGTTTTCTAAAACGCCATCAGATATAAATTCTTTTCCTCAATATTTGGTATTGGAATTTTTTCTGTTCTAATTCTTATAGAGAGGTGCTCTTGGTAGAAAATAATTCCGTTATTCTACTATGCTACTAGTCTGAAATCATTACTTTGGACTTCCATCATTGTTGCGGTTTCTAAGATTCGTCTTTCATAATCAATCTGTCTAATTTTTATTTTAGTATTAGTTTTTGAAGAGGGCCTGAATCTATTGGTTCTTTCATATATTAAAATATGATGATAGGCTAAAATTACAATACCATTATTTATAAGAGGGGTATCAAAATGAACTGAATCATCAAGGATGATCTTTTAGCTGATCAAGAATCCGTTTAAGCATTGGTGGAAAAAATCTGAAAGATTTGTTTAATATATATATATATAATACCAAATTGTAAAGTGGGTAAAAAAGGTCTTTCTCAAAAATTGTATAATCAAAGGAAATTGTAAGATAATTGTGTTTAAAAAATGCTGAATTTTTAGGAGATTTGTATTTGAGACCATGTTTAAGGATGTATCTGTTTTCATTGTGATAGTAATTTAAGATTTGAGCAAAATCTATAATTTCTTGTACCATTGAATTCTTTATAGAACTTTGAACAATACTGGCGCAATTACCAATTTTTTGTTCTAATTCATATAAAGTCTTTTCTTGCCCTGCAGCTGTAGAATCTATTAGTTTAATAAGTCTCACTCTTCTATTTGAATAATTTTTACTGTTGGAAGCAATGTCTTTAGAAAAAGGTATTTCAAGATTATTTTTAGAATTAAGTCCTTTTAAACTATCTTGTAACTGAAGAATTTCATTTTGATATTTACTAATAGTCTGTTGGGGTGGAGAAATTTTATCTTCAAGGATCTGTAGTCTTTTTTCTAATGAATGCTTTCTAAGATTCAAATTTCTAACAATTTTGATCATGGTTTAACAACTATCGCAACGTTGAATTGATGAAGATGATGATGATGCTCGAGAAGTAGTGGTTTGCAGAGCCTATCTAACTCTTTTAGATATAAAAAAGTCAAATTCTATCATTTCTTTGCAAAAATTTAAAGTTTCTTCGAGTGTATAAAATCCTTAGAAAAAGGGTCAGAAAATCTTTCTACATATTATAGTATTTCTGGCCAATAATTATATATATCAAGCTTTCAACCTTTAATTATTGCAAAAAAACTAAAATTTCTACTTCCTACTTGATTATGAATCTATCTAAAATGGTTAGCTAAGGTATTAATGTTATCTAATTTTTGTTTAAAGTCAAGTGTCATTCAGAGATTATCCAGTAGACAACGTTCCTTTTCTGGTAATCTTTCTAAATTATTTTTCTCTAAATCGAAGATTAGATTCTTGAAGGGCCACTCTTAGAGTCACATTCCCGAAATTTATCATTCTTTGATCCATCTGCATTATGAAGATAATGGATTAGAAAATTAATAACCTGCATACTTAAATTATTTGCTAAAATATTATTTTTTTGTCTATATGTTCTATATTAATTTTATAGTTACTTAATATCTCATATAATTTTAACCATATTTTATATCTTATCTTATCAAAATTTGTTTTATTTTTTTGATAAATTTTACTATAAGTTCACTGTTTG